ATGTGTTTACTCGAAAATGTTTAGTACGAACAGCAGACAAAGAAACCACCTGTCTGGCATATCAGTCCTACCATAAAATGAACGAATCAGTAACAAACTTAGAACCTTGATCAAAGCAAGACATATTTTACCTGAGTAACATAGACATCAAGATGGTAATGACACAAATTCACTGCATTTTATGCCACCTCCTGCCTTTGGTTTACAAGATAGTCTGCTTTGCTTTTATACCAAGACAGAACAACACCAGAGCTTCCTGGAGGATAACCAAGACACTCCTCTAAGGGTATTTAGGGTTCACTTGCTTATCTGTGTAAGAGTTTGTTTGAGCTTTCACCCCAATCCAAACAAACCAGACTGTCTGATGAAACAGACCAGGGTTCATGCAAAGCAGACCAAAGAGCTTTGTTATGAATGCAACCTGAATCTCTCATGTATCCACCTACAGAGCTTTGTTGGAGGCTTTACCACTGGCAGCCCCAGAAGAGCCTTCTCTGAAGAAGAATATTTCTTCAGGTCAACACATCCAGATTTTTTTTATGTCAGTAAGATGAAGACCAGAGCTGACCACTGAGCAGGAAACAGTTCCTCTGTGGAGAGACATCCTGATCTTAGGGACTGTTGGATCTCCTCCACTAGAGAATGATCATTCAGTTCATTCAAACAGTGAAACAGATTTATGCTTTTTTTTCTGCAGACAGATCCTCACTGATCTTCATCTTGATGAACTGGACTGTTTTCTGATTGGTCTGTGAGCTACTACCTATGTGTGTCAGCAGACCTCTCAGGAGATTCTGATTAGTTTGCAGTGAAAGACCCAGAGGGAACTGCAGAAATAAATCCAGGTGTCCATTTAGACTCTGTAAGGCCTTGTCTACGGCACTCTGATGGAGATTTGTCAGATTTTGTTCAACAATGAAGATTTTAGAGATTGAGGATGTTGTTTGTTTTTCTTCCATCAGGTTGACTCCGGAGTTGGTGAAGGTCAGGTGGACATGAAGAGCAGCCAGAAACTCCTGAACACTCAGATGAACGAAGCAGAACACCTTGGGCTCTATTTTCGTGCCTGCCGGCGGCGCGGTGGAGGGTGGCAGACCCTGCACAGTGGTATTTTCATCTGGCGGAGCCCGGTGCACAGCCAGTTTGGTATTTTCATAGACTGAGGTGCACCGAGGTCCGCCAAGCTGGGCGTGGTGGCGTGGCAGGGGGAGGTGTCGACAGAATCAGCTGGCGCAGTAACATTTTCGTGCCTGCCAGCGGTGTAGAACGTGCGCTGAAAGCTTGCCGATTCAAACCTGGTCAGCTTTCAGTGCAGGCAGAGTGCAGCTGGACTAGTGGTAATTTGGTAGACTGGTGGCATTGTGCACATACGTCACTGATGCCTCACTGGTAGGTTTCTACAGTGTCAGGCACATTTCAGTGCAATGAATAATCAACAACAACCAATATTCTGAGTCAGCACATACATTTAGATCTATAGATATATTCTGATCTATTTCTAATCTGATGAGTGCGTTTGGCAGACGTTTGGACACTCAACTTGACCGAATTAATAAAGCTGAGACCACATTAAAATATCTAGTAAATAGACACACATGATGAAGTGAACAAGATATTTAATTCGTCTCCCCCCTATTTCTAGTGTCTATATTTGTGGGAAAGGGTGTTTGTCTTACTAGTGGGTCCAACCTTACACACACCAAATCCATCTGTGCTTATATGAGACAGTGTGCAGGACACCCTCTGCAGCGACAGCAACACTTGTTGAGGGGCTGCCTTCTGTCGCCATCGTGTGACATTGCTGTCTTCAGCCATCTTTTGACCTCCTTGACTACTTCACGAAAATTGTAATGCGCCTTGCCAGTGGTGAATTTAAAGGTGAGGAGAGGAGCTTTGATGATTGGCAAAAACAGGTTTTGGCTGTGTTAAACCCACTCCATGCCTTATCCCCTCCCTCATTATGACTTATACTGCTGGGAGGAGCTAAGTTAGGGAGGGGGGATACTTACACCGGGCTGCGCCACTCACCAAAATACCAAAATGCGCTTGGGCATGCCTTGTCAGCACGGCGGACCTGACTTACGCCGCGCCTACGCCACGCCGCTGGTGAGGCATGAAAATAGAGCCCCTTGTCCTGGTACAGTCCTCTCTCCTCTCTAAAGATCTGTGTGAACACTCCTGAGTACACTGAGGCTGCTCTGATATCCATGCCACACTGTGTCAGGTCTGATTCATAGAAATCAGGTTTCCTTTCTGCAGCTGCTCAAAAGCCAGTTTTCCCAGAGACTCAATCATCTTCCTGCGCTTTGGACTCCAGTGTGGATCAGTCTCAGCTCCTCCATCATACTTAATGTTCTTCAGTTTGGACTGAACCACCAGGAAGTGAATGTACATCTGCGTCAGGGTCTTGGGCAACTCTCCTCCCTCTCTGGTCTTCAGCACATCCTCCAGAACTGTAGCAGTGATCCAGCAGAAGACCAGGAGGTGGCACATGATGTGGAGGCTTCTGGATCTCTTGATGTGGAAGATGATTCTTCTGGCCTGCTCCTCATTTCTGAATCTCTTCCTGAAGTACTCCTCCTTCTGAGGGTCAGTGAACCCTCTGACCTCTGTCACCATGTCAACACACTCAGGAGGGATCTGATTGGCTGCTGCAAGTCTTGTGGTTATCCAGAGGCAAGCAGAGGGAAGCAGGTTCCCCCTGATGAGGTTTGTCAGCAGCACATCCACTGAGCTGGACTCTGTAACATCAGTCAGGACCTCATTGTTGTGGAAGTCCAGAGGAAGTCAACACTCATCCAGACCGTCAAAGATTAACACAACCTGGAAGTGCTGAAAGCTGCAGATTCCTGCTTCTTTGGTTTGAGTGAAGAAGTGATGAACAAGTTCCATCAAGCTGAACTTTTCTCTTTCAGCAAATTTAGCTCTCTGAAAGTGAATGGAAATGTGAAGTGGATGTCCTGGTTGGCATTGTCTTCAGTCCAGTCCAGACTCCACTTCTGTGTTAAGACGGTTTTCCCAATGCCAGCCACTCCCTTGGTCATCACTGTTCTGATTGGTTCCTGTCTTCCAGGTGAGCCTTTAAAGATGTTTTCTTATCTGATGGTTGTTTCTGGTCGCTCTGCTTTCCATGTTGTTTCAATCTGTCTGTCCTTCATCATTGACCTCTCCAGTCCCTCCCTCTGTGATGTAGAGGTCTGTGTAGATCTGGTTCAGAAGGGTTGTGTTTCCTGCTTTAGCAATCCCCTCAAACACACACCGTAACTTCATCCTTCAGGTTGGACTTGAGTTTGTGTTGGCACTCTGCAGCAACAGATCCTGAATGATCCAAAAGAAATGTGATGAATAATCTGAAGCTACAATCAGTCTGATGAATTGACACTTGAAGACATCAGGATGGATTTGATTTCCCTCCTCTCTGAAATCTCTTCAGCTCAACAGCTGTGATTGTTGTGGAAGATCCAACATAAACTCAGGAAAACAATGCACAGGAGACAGGATGAGATCTAAAGAGCAGCCTGGGCATCTTTTCTTGTGCAGGTGTAGAAATCAGTCCAGATGACAAACAGAGTCTCTATTCTTAAGCTTTTCTTCCACTCCCTTTTATACTGTCCGGTGTGCATCTGAATACAGTCATTGTGTACTGCTTGTACCTCTGATATGTGTGTGGGTGTGTGTGTGGGTGTGTATGTGGGTGCATGAGTCTTCTGTCATCATAGGTACATCATTTCAATTCACCAGGAGGCTACCCATGATGATATGTTGTACTGTTCTGGGGCCTCATTTATGAAGCTTGCTTACGCACAAAACCTGGCTTGGGAGTGCGTACGCCACTTCTTATGCAAAAAAAAAAAACTAGCGTAGGAATGTGCGCAACTTTAAGCAAACTCCACACCTTGCTTGCACACTTTTTGGAGACAATTGGAGCAAGGTGAGAACAATTGGTTAATGGAAAGTGCGCATATAAAAAGCCGTACAATGACAGTTGTGCGCAATGCAGCACAATGGATACACTTGCGCCTCTCGAAGACCACGCCCATGGACGGATCCGGCTGGAGAGGGTGTTCTGAGATCGGGAAGATTTTCTGGCTCATGATGATGAATGGCTAATAAGCCATTTTAGACTCCCTAGAGCCTTGCTCTTGGATCTAATTGCTGAATTGAGTCCGATTTTCGAGCACCCAACGCACATGTTAAGGTGCTGACAACAATTGGTTTCTTGGCAACGGGCTCGTTCCAGAGGGAATTGTTGGACAGGTATTTATCATGACAGTTATATCACAATATAGGCGTAATTTAAATGTACAGATTCACAAAATATAAATTAATAATAAATTCTGTGCTAACAGGTCTGGGATCTCGCAGCCATCCCTCAGTGCCGCACTGCCAGCTGTTTTGGATGGGATCATCCAAATGACCAGTCGCTACATCAGGTTTCCTTACACTGTTGTTGAACAGGCTAACAGCAAAAGGCAATTTGCAGCAATGTCCGGTTTCCCTAATGTAAACGGCACAATTGACTGCACCCACATTGCTATAAGAGCCCCCAGCGAGAACAAATTTGTTTATGTAAAATGAAAAGGTGTGCACACCATAAATGTCCAAATAAGTTGTGACTCCTCAATGGTGCTCACAAATGTAGTGGCACGGTGGCCTGGCTCAACACACGATTCATTCATTTTGGCGCACAGCGGTGTAGGGAACAGACTGCAGGCAGGTGCTGCTCGTGATGGCTGGCTCCTTGGTAAGTATTACACTAACACCATAGCATCCCCACCTGACCTCCCCCCCGCCCTGCCACACGTGGACCTCGACCCACAGCCACCTCCCCAGCATGATGAACATCAGCATGGAGCAAGGCTACATGAGGAAGTGATGCGGGGTGTGTACAAAGGCAAGTGCGTTTCACTTTTTCACCAACTCTTTTATTGCGTCCGTTGCCGCTGACATTATGTCACACATGTTCTGCAAGACTGTGCATATTTGTGGCAGTTCCTCCCTCACTTCTCGGACGGCTCCGATCTGCTGGGGGTGCTGGGGACAAACGGGCCTGCAGCCAGTGTGCCAGACGTGCTGGGAAGCACCTCCTCTTCCTCCACCTCCTCTACCACTGCTTCCAACTGCAAAGTGACTGAGGACACAATGCACATTATTTCTAGCCACGTGTCTGTACAAACATTTGATTCAATAAACGGGTAAAAATGTAACTCACCACTCTCCGCAGTCTGTGCAAAATCTGTGTCCCCCTCCCTCTCCGACACAATGCCACACACTGGCACTTCCAATAACGGAGGCAATTTTGCAGTGAAGTGGTGTTGGTTCCTCTGTGGTCTGGCCGCCACCTGTGTGTAAGATTTGTAGACTTTCTGCTCAGTCAAAAGTTGCAAGGTGCTGGCGACATCACAGAAAAGGAACCTTGCGAGCATGATTCAGAAGTTACTTCTCATTCAACATTTTGATTTCAGGATTTAGCGTTTAATTTGAAATGTAACAAATAGTTTCCACGTTAAATTTTTCGACTTAGCAATTTCAGTTTTTTTGGAATTTACAAATGTGCAAAAAACAAATTCCATTTACATGTATTTGTTTTAAGATACATATGACTAAATCTTTTTGGTTTAAGAACTTTCACCACATAAGCAGCGGTGGATAACAGAGCAGTTTTTTTGGAACACATGCATGAGTGTCACACGTGCTTGTGTTTTCTGATCCTCACCTGTCGCCGCCATTCTCCGACGGTGCAAAACCACTTTTTTCTTTGCCTCCACCTTTAGATCAGACCATTTCTTGATTTCGGCAATGCTGCGCTCAGTGCCAGCCACACTTACCGCCACGCCAACGGCATGCCATTCGGTGGCTTTTCTTTTATTGGTGATGCCACTCGAATGGCTACCGAATAAAGTCTCCCGTCTCGTCGCCACCTCATTTACAAGGACCTCCACCTTGGTCTCTGAAAAGTTTCTTTTTCTATGACTTGCTGATGCCATGATTAAGCGTGAAATGCCGTGGATCCATCAGGCTTATTTATATGCAAATCACATTCATGAGGTAATTTGCATGACCATACACGGTGAATTGTGGGTGTGGAGAGGGCGGGGCATGAATCAAATCCCTGCTGCACAAGTTTGCGGCTGGTCTGTGATTTATAAAGTGAAAGTGCATGCAGGTGTGCGTACGCAGGGTTTTATAAATCAGATTTTTTTTTGGCGTACGCACTTTTCAGCTTTTCAGTTTACATACACTTTTAGTATGAATCCTACACCAGGTTTTATAAATGAGGCCCCTGAAACTCGACACTTTGTTTAGATTAGTCTTAACTCAACCAGAGATTAGCTCTAAATGTTCTGGCAGACAGATAGTTTTGGTCCCTGCAAAACAGCCTCGCTTAAAACCTCTGAGTCATGAGGTTGCAAAAGCCAACCCAGATTGTTTGTAACTCCTTAATAAAGGATAATCACTCTATATTTCTTAACCTAAATGTATGAAAAGATTCTACTACATGATCAGTTTCTCTTAGTTCATAGATGTGATACAAATGTGTGCATCATATGAACAGTAGAGTCTGAACTGTTAACCTCTCCCATGTTGTCTCCATTTCCTGTTTCCATCATGTTAAAATTACTTCAACTGAACGTCAGATCATCTGTGACAGACAGAAAGCCTGCTGGTCTGCAGAGTGCAGCATGGAGACTGGATAACAATGCTACTTACTTTTACCTTTAAATCAGTGACAAACACCCAGGAACCAGAGTCCAGCTCCAGTCACACAGCAGGACCCTGCAAAGACCTGCTGTCAGAACATGACAGAGAAACCTCATAGTGATCCAGGATAATATCTGATGTAGGGCTGCAACAAACAATTATTTTAACAATTGATGAATTGTTCGATTATTTTTTTGATTAACCAATAAATTGGATACAAAAACATATTTAATTTTCACCACTTTATTTGAAAAAGGAACATTAGCCCGGCAGCTTAAGTCAATTTTTCACAAGAATCGTTCACTTGATGGTACAAGCACCAAATTTGGCACACAAGTGCTTCTGAACCTACTCTCCCAGGAAAGTACGCTATCCAGCTGAAAATCCAAGATGGCCGCCAGTTTTTAAGATGGCCGCCTTGCCAAATGCAAAATTTGAGGGTTTCGCAGTAGAACTTGAATGACACAAATGTGTTAATGATCCAAAGATCAAAATGAAAGTAGATTAAAAGCTTAGATGACTTAGAAGCAAAATAGATTAGTCTTAACTCAACCAGAGATTAGCTCTAAATGTTTTGGCAGACAGATTGTTTTGGTCGCTGCAAAACAGCCTCACTTACAACCTCTGAGTCATGAGGCTGCAAAAGCAGGCCAACCCAGGTTATTTGTAACCCCTTAATAAAAGATAATCACTCTATATTTCTTAACCTAAATGTATAAAAAGATTCTACTACACAGTCCCCCCTTTGAAAGTTCTTTCTTCCATAAAATCATGATTATCATACAGAAACACTAACATCCTTATGTGATGATAAATGAAACATGTACACTGAAGTCTGACTATGTACTGGCGCCAGTTTGACCTTCACCTGTCTTCATTGTCTCCAGTCTCTCTCTCCGTTTCCCTCCACACTTTGTCCCTCAGCAGCAACACCAGGAAAACAATTACTTTCAAGATGAGTGCTACAGTCATTTTGGGAGTCTCTTTTATCAAGTCATACCTCCCTTGTTTTACTGGGCAGTCAGTGGTAGATGATGCCACATCATATTGAGCTCTTCTTGCACTGAAGTACAGTAGGTGTCACCAGGACCACAGTGTTCAGGTCTTCTCCTCGTTCCTTGTGCCGCTCTCCTCAAAGGACGTTGATATACACCTGGGGCCTTATGTATCAATACTTGCGTGGGACTCATACCAGAAACGTGCGCACGCAAGGTCCGTCACACTGAAAAAAATCTGTATGTATCAAGGTGTGCGGGCGCCGAAATCCACGTGTGTTTCCTTGATAAATCCCAATCAGCGTGGAATTGAGCGCAGATGTCGGAGTGACTGGGCCCGCCCCCGTTACGCCCTGACATAAATATGCAGATTTATTTAAATGGGGTCTCCCTGTCCTCGCACGCAGACAAAATGACAAGAAAAACTAAATTTACGGCGTGCGAGGTGGAGGTGCTGGTGGCGGAGGTGGAGGAGCGACAGCGTGTTTTGTTTGGCAGCCTGTCCAGTGGGGTCAGTGCAAAACGAAAACGCTTGGAGTGGGAGAAAGTTTGCGAGAGGGTGAACGCGGTGGGTTCCGAGACACGCACCCCCGCGGAGATTAAAAAAAAAGTGGTCGGACCTCAAGGTGGAGGTCAAGCGGCGTACAGCTGCCCTCCAGACTAGTACCGGCCAGACAGGTGGGGGTCCAGGGGAGGAGACCCTCACACCGTTTGAGCAGCAGGTGGTGGCGATTATTATTATAGGGTAAGTGGCGTGTCACACAAATGTCCACATGCTTTGCCATCCCACTGGACAAAAGACGTACAGTATATTAGACGTCTAGTCTAAGTTTATACTTCATTTCAACGTCGGGATTCAGTCTATTTTAAGACGTGATTTATACTTCGCCCATAACTTCATTTTTCGATAATTTTTTATGCAATAAACAACTGTAATGTGCATAACTGACCTCGAAATACTGGATTACATTACCTATGATACCGTGGAGAGAGATGTAAACGCAACAGATACACAGAGGCAGGAATTGAAATGAACCAATATTTTTATTGGGTCACAGAAATCAATGTGTCGGCCGTGTCGCCGGCTTGCGGAACCCCGGCCCGCGGCAGCCCGTCCGCCGGCTCGGAGTTGTCGGCCAGGACCAGCGGCATTCGGGCCACCCTGGCCCCCGGCCCCAGCACCAGCACCAGCACCAGCACCAGCGCGCCGACAAGCGGTGGAGTGTCCACCAGCGGCGGCGCTTCCGCTGGACCACCCAGACGCAGTGGAAGGGTCCTCAAGGCGGTCCTGCAATCGCAGGAAGAAGTCATCAGGGGGATCGCGGGGATCAATGCGCGGCTGGACCGGCTCGTAAATGTCCTCGAGCGTCTGGTGGCGAAAATAAATTAATTTGGCTCATTGAACTGTGTATTCACTTCTTACCCATTCACACTGTGGCGATGAGATTCTCCCGCGCGAGGACGGCGGCCCGCCAGGGATCAGCTCGCATCCCTCCGTCTGCTGCTGGTTCGTGATGTGGGGTGACGTGCTGCTCGGCCACGGGGATGTGGTGCACGCTTGTCACATAGTGAGTCACCAAACACCGCCACACAGCGTCGCCAAAGTGCGAATCACAGTCACAGTCGGCTCAACGCCAACTTCTACACCACCTCCTAACTTTGTGTTGATTAGCTCTGGAACCAACGCTCGTTTCGCGATGATAAATCTGGATCAGATGGTGGATCAGATTTTGGCATTCCTCCTGCAGATCGACAGACCTTTGCATCGTAATTAGCTGCCTCATATATTTAATTTGCTAATTTTTTCAGCTACTCGAGCGAAAAGCTTAATTAAGTTGTCTAGCTGCAGTAAAGCATAGTTTTGTAAGTTAGCAATTCATACAGTGAAAGATTTATCACAGCGCTTTTGACTGTGAAAGCTCATCAGCGCAAGTAGCAAAGCATCTTCCTATAGGTTAGTGTTAGTGCAAATTTTTCTGATCTGATTTTTTACTTGAGTGACTTTCTTCCCCAAAATGATGTACCAAATCATGTAATAACATTTCACAAAAGTTTTGACTCCAAGATCTTTTGATGGCATTGCTTCTATCCATCGACTGAACCCTCTATCATTACAAACATGTAACTTTTCCCTTGGCAGTTTTTATCATGTCCATATAGTCTATGAATAGATGTTTAAAAGCGTCTCTCTGGAACTGGAAAAGTGACCTACTAATGTTTTATTGGTCTCTTCAATTGATCTGAAAACACACATCACAATGACTCAAGAGTTTATCAACTATTGTCGGCATATTTTAAAAATCTCTTGTTATAATTGTCTCATTATCTCCCCCCTTGCACAGTGTGAATCACTGTGCAAGTCAGATCCTGAGTTGGCTCGTTAATACTACCAAATAGTACCAAAATAATTATTTGACTTTAAAACATTTTCTGTGGCCTTATTTGCCTTTGACAGCTTCCCAATACTTTTACATTAGGTGGCACATCTGTGAGGAGTGTATGTGGATTCAGCACAGCCGTATTTGGATTTATCAGTTTTAAACTAACAGAAAAGGAATTTTACACCCTAGATCTCAATTAGCGCTCTGGTTTTTACCAGGCCTCTCAATTAATTTCTGCTTCCCTCCTCAGCTGCTTGCTTTAGGGGATATATTACGATATGACAGTCTAACATCAGCCTTAGGTCCACTTATACTGGACTCAAGGACACACCGTAATGTTTTCTTTCA